TGATAAATTTGTATCGAATTCCCGGAAGGAGTGGATATTATTTTTAACGTCTTTTAAGATAGTCGGTTTAAATTTATTGGTTTCATTTATGCATAAACCAGCCCTCGGTCTATTCGGGCTTAGTGATTAACCACCGTGCTGCGCGGAGTTTATAGTGAAATTCCCACGGTGCGCATGAAATGGTGTTCCCAAAAAATTCTTTTTTCTTCGTAAAATGATAAATTCCCTTCCCTGAACATGTCTATGTACATATAAATACCAAATTCCACTTTGGCTGTGGGGACGTGGACAAGGTGCGCTGTGACGTCATCAGGGCCTGGTCGCCCGTGGGTGAATCACCCAGACACAGTTGCACGGGCCATTCAAGCACCGGGTGTTGCCACAAATATATTTTCAGTTTTTGTTTTATGTATTTCCAATGCGTTTTTTTTTTTTTTTTTTTTATCGTAAATGATGCATATTTGTGTCCTTTACAATATGTATACAGTAAAACGTTCATAATGTTCCCTGGAGTTGATACATGTGTCCGTAATGTGTCCACAATAAATGTTTATTGTCGCAATATTACCTGTTAAAAATTCATAATTACAATATGTACAGTTTCACACTATTTACACAGTAACACACTGTATTACACACTCAGTACTTCGGAAGTGAGTAATAATCAACGAAGTAGCCCATGGTACACAGTGCGACTTCGCTCTCAGTGCACCAGGTAGATAAATTTTCGCTTCCTGTTTCTTCATTCTGTGTGCTTGCAAATAACGCACTCATGTACACCCTTGGCTTTAGTACTTGTAGGTTGTATGTAGCCAAGCTTGTAAAGCATAAGGTAGTATTGAAAAGATTATAGGAAAAGATCAATTTGTAAGGTAGTCTTAAAAAGATCACTTTGTATGGTCCCACACAGGAAGAGATTCAGCTTACCTCAAGAGTGTCCGTCAGTCAGAAAGAGATTCGGGTAGCCTCAAAGAGTGTCCGTCAATTAGGAAGAGATTCAGGTATTCTTGAAAATATCTATGGAAAACACCATCATGGAAGCCGCTAACACTGTTCATCTATGCTATTTGTATCAGATGCATTATCACTGAACGCAGAAAACAATTCATCTAAGTATCATCTAAATAAATAGCATAGGATTGCAAGGGTGACGCTCAGAGCTACAACTGGATACGCTCGCTGTATCGTCCTCATTGGTGCTGTATCACTTGCATCCGACCTTTGTGTTAGGTCCTTATTGCGCCTAGCTTCCCCAATATTATGACCCTTATGTTCTTCAAACAATAAGGTTTGAATTTCACTGACAGAGCATTATCTTTCAACAACGTGTCGGACAGGTGTTTGGGAGCCAGAGGCAAGTGCGCCACCCATGGTTGCTCATTCAGTACTTACCCAGCCAGCAGCCCACTGGATAGGAGGCGGTGTGCAGGACAAACATATCAATTGTGACACTAGCTGTTTACATATGTCAGTTGCTTAATTTAGAAATTACTTGTGGTCGATCTGGAACCCATTGTTGATGTGACAACTTGTATTGAATTTTGTAACTAGCTCAAGATTGTAACTTGCTTAGCTAAATGAATTGTGGAGTTCAGTTCCTGAGCCCATTATGTGCCTCTGTAACCCTTTCCACTACCGCCCACAAGATGGGTATGGGGTGCATAATAAATGCACTAAACTCCAAACTACTGTAAAGTACAACCTAGATTCAACGCACTATATGGGACCAACCCCAGTGCATTGGAGCATTGTATTCGTTGCAAGAGGCGTTTGGGTCATTTTTTTTTTTTCTTGTACACAATAAAAATGCATTATTATATTTTGTACTGTCAATATATTACTACTCTACTAAAAAATAGTTACATTTGTTATTTACCTTATTGTTGGAGTTATGTCCATCTTGAAGTCTCACGGAGCTGTGAATGCTGTACAGTAAATACGTACTTTAGTGTATTATGCTGTGTTAACGAAGTAGTTCTGCTGTATGTTGAGTACTTCAATACAGTTTATGAAAACTATTGATCATTATAATTACTGCAACTTTAATACTATGTACACACTTAAATTTAACACTTGTTCTAACTGTTCACTCCACACACGATATTTTTAGATGTTTGCATCAGCTTTGCTGGTGCTTGTTGCTGCTGTATTGGCTTCAGCTGCTTCTGAGCTGGTGCAGGCTGCCGTTATGCAGGTGCTGGGTACGGCTGTGCTGGTTGATTTTCTGCTACTAGTTTGTGAAAAATATTGACTCATTTTTGTTTCCTTTTTGTCATGTCCTTGAGACAAATATCTTTCATCGTACTTAGGTGTTGATAAAAGCTGGCGGGTTATCACAGTTATTCTTCCACCAGCGGACAAACATGTCACTAGCAGGCAAAGCTAACGGCACTGGGTGCCTACTGTATGAACGCAGACTAGGTCTATACATGCTGCAGTAGGGTGGTGTTTAAGTCAGATCCAGTAATATAAATTTCTCTCAAATATTGAATGTCAAATTATATATTTTTGGGTTATATATTTAGTTTAGTAACATTGTTAGGATAATAAGAGATGTAAAAAACTTATTTTAGAACCGATTTATTAATTTTATTATGTTGAGGCCATAGGTCACTGAACTGTGACGACGACAATCGAACGAAACACACATGGTGCTGTGTACAAGGATTAGACCCGAGCACTCGCGCTGGAGTTGTTGTTCCAATAACATAAATAATTTCTCAAATAGCAGATGTCTATCATATTACAGTACAATATATTTTTGCTTTTATTTAGTTTAGTTTAGTTTAATTAGGATAATAAAAACCAATTAAAACACTGGTTTTAGAAATGATTTATTAATCTGAAACGTTCAAAGTCATGAGTCGCTGAACTATGACGACACAGACGAAGGAAAACCAAGTGAGGTTTACAGTACAGTATGCCCTTATCTGTCCACCCTCACTCATCTTGTTTCATCACAGAAAATGTCTGTATAGAGATTTTACCACGTGTAGCTAGCTAATCGCACTTCAGCCTTTAAATAAATTTACAAAGATACGTGTGCCACAAATCGGTGAATGAAAATCATGGAAACTGTCGTTCACTTGTTTGGACCACTCTGGCTGGTGTTTGGTTCATATGGTTCACCTGTTGTGTGATCCAACTTGTCTTATGAAGGAATTATTAATTGTTACCTGTGATGGAATGGGGAAGTTTTCCACCACTCTGTGAACTGTCCCAACATCGTAAGCTTGTGGTCCAACTTGTCATATGAAGGAATTATTAATTGTAACGCATGATAGAATGGGAAAGTTTTCCACCAGTCTGTGAACTGTCTCGACATTGTAGGCAAATCTGAACATCCCCCGCTTCGGCGGACCATTGTTTGTCGAACCAGGTGAGTAAATCCGGCCAGAAAAGTGTGCGACCTAGCCGGAGATTCATTTAATCGGGGTACATTGAATCGAGGTTGTACTGTATTTCACAATTTTACATGTAATTAATTTTGTAATTTTCTCAATTACATTTGAGAGAACTCTTATCAACATCAAAGGCCCAAGACATTTCAACACTCCTGCTACACATAAGGGACATAACTGCCTGGCCTCTCACGGTGTTGAAGAGGAACACCTCTATAAACACTTCCAATTAATTGATCAACCAGGCTGTGAGAAGCGGCATCCAACAGTCTGGTTGACCAGACAACCAAGCCTGGTCAGAGACCATGCTGCCAGGATGTTGATTCCTGGAACCGCCACAAGTAGCCACCCCCATTTATGATCTTTCAGGGTTTGCCCCATTCTGCTTTGCATTACTTACCCCAAGTTTAATTGCTTTTCCTCAAGTTTCCATTATTTCCACCAGCTATTTTCATATCCTGTGCTCCACACTTGTTTAAAAAAAAAAAAAAAAAAAAAATCTGGAGAACAGACTGGTACAAGCCATAGACCCAAAGCTAGTTCTGTATAAAATTAATGTGTTTCTATACATGTGTTTTATGCTCTTAAATTTATTATAGATTATCATTTTGAAATATGCAGTATTTTTATATTTGGATAGTTGACATCTACTATACAGTTTGGTTTTGTCGTACTCCAGATTTGAGTAATTGGAGATAGGGTACAGTGTTTTTTATATTGGTCATAAAATTGCATGTACTGTCCATATTTTACCTTGAGGTGATTTTGGGGCTCAGCAATCCCGCGGCCCAGTCGTCGACCAGGCCTTCGTTGCTGGACTGGTCAACCAGGCTGTTGGACGCAGCTGCTCGCAGATTGACGTATGAGTCACAGCCTGGTTGATCAGGTATACTTTGGAGGTGTTTGTCAAGTTCTCTCTTGAACACTGTGAGGGGTCGCAGTGTTCAAGAGAGAACTTGACAAACGCCTCCAAAGGATACCTGATCAACCAGGCAGTACAAGATATTATTACAAAAGAGGTGGAAACAGTTTTCCTTAGTTACCATTTGAGATTGTTCAATTGTTCCATTTCTCATGCATTATTATTGCATGAACATTTGTTTTATTACCCAAGACAAATATTTAATAATGCCATTAAATGTCAAGGTACAGTATTGAGTTGAAATTTTTTAGTTCTCCATATTCTTTGTTCTGTGTGTATTCATACTTGATTGTTTTTGTGCACAGTATCCACTCGATTTACATCCAGGATTGTGAATGCCTGACTGCCTCTGACTACATTCTGTGTAACAGAAGCAGTGATATCAGTGTAGGAACAGTTTAAGTGTTGGCCTAGCGAGGGCAAACTTGTCGCAAAATAGTGGCCTCTAGTTTAATGTGTACCGGACTTTGTAAACTCGATACCATATCCCGGATTTAACAGCCAATGTCTAAGTATGGTGCCAGTTAATGCTCTAAAGTTTGGTTGTTAGAACTGGCGGAACGGTAAATTAGAGGTCCTTAGTGGTATTTGTATTATGCTGTGTACCAATGTACCTAACGTGTACCTAAAAATTGCAAATCATGGATAAAAATTTATGTATAGTGTTTTGTTTGTAGATGGTTTGGCCAGGAGCAGCAATACAATATCTTGGTTATGGATCTCCTGGGACCTTCCTTAGAAGACCTTTTCAATTTCTGCAGTCGTCGTTTTACCATGAAGACAGTTCTTATGCTTGCAGATCAGATGATTGGTCGCATAGAGTTTATACACAACAAGAACTTCATTCACAGAGATATAAAGCCAGGTGGGTTACTCAGTTGATGTTATGAAGTATGGTAGTTATAATGTGTGTAGTTGTGGGTAATTGTACTTTATATGATTGGTAATTGAAACGGTTTATCAAAACCCAATTCTCCATTAAACAGTGTAAATTTAGTTCTTTTAGGCAATTTAATGTATTATGTCTTTCATTTTTATTGCTTGCCACTGATTAATTCCAATTGGCCAAACCATCTCAGAATGCTCTCCTCAATCTTGCAGTTTATTCACTTCTACATTACATTTCTCTAACATTTTAATTCCTTAGACCATATACATTTCAAACGTCTTACACTTCTACTGCTCTAACTTTTGAATTTTCACATTCATACTACACCTTTGTCTTGCAAATGTGAAGGTTGGTGCTACGACAATCATACAACCCACTTTCTACATCCATTTTTATTTGAATATACAGTAGGCATATGGTGTATCAAAAATTGTTTCTTTGCAGATAATTTTCTTATGGGCATTGGTCGTCACTGCAACAAACTTTTTCTGATCGACTTTGGATTGGCCAAGAAGTACAGAGATAATCGGTCACGTGCGCACATACCTTACCGAGAGGACAAGAATCTTACAGGAACGGCACGATATGCTTCTATCAATGCTCATTTGGGTATTGAGCAGAGGTAATACTGAATTATCTTTTTAAACTTTCCAAATGTTTAATATGAATTTTAGGAACTAAGGCTTTTGAACTAGCTGATTTTTAAATGGTTAAGCCTCGATGTAACATTAGCTTTTTCTAAAGTGTAAATGTAGTTTTATCTACATAAAAATAGCCTTTCTCTGCTGCCCTGGACCATAGCTTCCTAGTCCCTAAGGCTCTGTACCAAACTGTGCCGAGCCCCTGAGATTGTGGCCTAAAACACAGGACTAGAATCTGGTTTGCTCAGGCAAGGGAAGTTTTGGGGGCAGATAAATTTAACAGATGATCTTCCCCTTCCCTCGCCATCTCCAGAAAGTCACTGAAACAAAATGAGCCAACAAAATAAGGAATAGGGCAAATGATACTTGATAGCCAGCAAACAACTTTCCAGACTGTCACCAGATGGCAGCTTAGGACACTGTTTCATATCACCACCATCACTTGCTCTTGCAGTTACCATGCATGCATGTTATCACTGCAGGGACTGGTCCATCTTGTACTTAGTGAAATGTGTGCATCCTTGTGATACTTTGTCCCTGTTTTGGTCTGCTGGCTGTGGCCATTGATGGCCGTTTAGCTGGTCTCCAGTTGGTTTTTTCATATATTTGGTGTTCCTTTCTTCATCCCTTGTTGGGGTACCTGATTTTGTCTTGTGCTCTTCTCCTGACACTTGTTTTTGTTAGTATCCCAGATTGTTGTTTGCTGCTCATTCCTTGCAATGCTTGTATGAAAGGTGGGTGCCATGTCACCATTGTTGTTTTTTGCCGAGCCTTGGTGTTCTGCCTCCATTCTCCTACTGGTTATCCCTTTTTCCATCATGGTCTCTTCATTTTATTCTCTTACGGTAAAGCCATTCTCATCGTTGAGGCACCACTGTGAGTAAGCACCAGGAGGGCTACTGGAGGGACTAGCACACTAGTAGTGTTTTGTGTAATGAAACTACTTTTTATGCTGCTTCTCAATAGCTCCCTATTTCCGCACTGTTCCCTTCTCGCCTGAGGGGCTGGGCATTCTTCAGATTGTATGAGTGAAACCGATGGAGTGAGAGCTATGCCCTGTCTCCCAACTTTTTACATCTGCCACACTAAATACATCTTTTTATGTTCAGTAGTGTCAGTTTTTGAAGTTAGGGATGGAAGTGGCTTTGACAGTTTGCTTGCAATGAATTTTATTTGCCGACTACTCGTTCAGGCTACGAAAATTTTTGTGTACTTTGGCCATGTGAATGCTTTTGATATATCTAGTTTGGAGAGAGGTCTCTCTTCTCTTTTCTCTATTTTCTCTCTTCTCTCTTCTCTTTTCTCTCCTTTCACTTTCTCTCTTATCTTTCTCTCCTTTTGATAGCCCTTTTTGTGTAGTGTTGCTTCTGGCTGTCTGTAGGCTTCTCTTCTTGGGTACTAATATAGCTCTGATTTGTAAACCTGGAACTTTGTTGAATTGTTCACATTCGTGTCATTCTCCATGAGTAATTCTGTCACTGGAGTCTGATCACATAGTCTTGTACTTTTGTATTTCTCTATATTGTTATGCAACCTTAGAGTGGTTTTTGGCTTGTTGCAATGTAGCTTCCAAACTACTCCTTCACTGCCTTCCTGTTCCTAGTGTATCTTTGTGGTCCCCCACTGGTGCCATATCATACTCCTACTGGTTGGTTACCTGCAGAATCTTGCCTCAAAGCTCGCATTGTGTATATCTTTATCCTTCCACCTCCCCCATCCCTCTTTCCCTTCCCCATGTTCATCTTTCTCTTCCTTACTACCTGGTATCCTATTGGAAATATTGCATCTTTTTATTAAACGAGGCAGTTTTGTTTTTGTACAGTAATTACAATGAAAAGAGTGCAGTTCTGCCACCTGTTCTTGCAACTCCATCTCATTTGTAATTTTAACATTAGTATTACTTAAAAGATAAAGACAAATTTTCACTAGGCTGCCTAGTTTCTTCCATGAGAATAGATTTCTTTTTATGCTTATCCCAGTCTGTAGGGTGGGATTTTTGAGTGTTGATCTAGTCGCACACCTATTATTCTCCTGGTCTCTTGAATTATCAATCTGACTAGGCCTGCTGTCTTGCTCCGATTCCTACTCTTGCCTAGTTTCATTTTTTGTTTTCCCTTGCTCTGTTTCCTCTCCTTCTTAGGATTCCCTTGTGCTTTTCCTCTCAGATTGCTTTAGCATCTTTATTGCATCCTGGGCAATGTATACCCAGTTGTATCTTCCTCCAGCACACAGCCTCCTTTTCCCCTGCTAATATGCACTTCACTCTGACTACTACTTTGAAAGATAACCTGCAGTGGTGTTCTACATTTTACCTTCACTATCATTAAGTCCTCTACTTTAACACTTTTGCCTGGGCATGGCGCAGCATTGCGTCATCCGTTTACTGTCGGTAATGCCGGGGATGACGCAGCATTGCGTCATCCACTTTAAATAATCGCCAAAAATCGGGTTTTTATCAGATTTTTTGGGGACTGGTTTTAAAATGCGTGCCGATGTCTTCCCATTTTCTTTGTTGAGCCTCGTGGCCCTCAGGCAGCTTGGCACACGCCGTGGGCCCATTGTTTTCGCTCCACTGCTGTGACCAATGTAGTCTCCCCTCGCATCTCAAACGTGTGAACATTTCGGCTATTTTCCGTGGCTATATTTCTTACTGCGGCTTTAGAAACTATCTACGCTTACTCCACGATGGATAGTGATCATGAACAAGGCCCTTCCAGGGAGAAAATTGCGAAAGAAAGGTTTGGAAAGGGTGGGAATTGGGAGTGTAGCTGGAAGGCATCTGAGTGCTCACTTGCGGCTAACGCGTGGCCCGTCTTCAACTCGTCGGCGGTTGGAGCGTGACCAGGTTTTTTATTTTATATGCTAATGTTCCTCTAGAGAATTCTATTGCGAACCCATTGAGACCAAAATGAAAGACCTAGGACGAAAATTGAGGTGACCAGAGTGAAAATAGTGAAAACATTTTATCGCGTTTGTGCGCTCCTGGGTAACTCGTTCGCACTTTGTGTTTGCTGCGGGTAATTAGCCGGGCTTTTGGAGTTTATATGCATTTAGTGCTGTAGAGAATTCTATTGCGAACACAATGATACAAAATTTAATCTCGTAGGACGAGAATTAAGGTGACAAAGTTGAAGAGAGTATACACTTTTCAGAATTTACGCGCGCTCCCGTGACACCCTGGGTCCCATATCGCAGTTGAGAGGTGGCGCGCGGGGTACGCCAAAGTGTTAATAGGCTGTCCCACTTGTCTGCACTTTGACAAGGACTCCTTTCAACTTCACAGTTTCCTCTCTCCTTCCATGTAGCGTTAAAATACAAGCGTTAAAAAAAATAAATAGTTTTATCCTTTAGGATATCGAGCAGGATAATGGGGCAATGGGGTCTGACGCTTCGGATTAATAGTCCTGAGGTTCTCTGTTCGATCCCCAGTGGAGGCGGAAACAAATGGACAGATTTTCACCCTGATGCTCCTGTTCACCTAGCAGTAAATAGGTACCTGGGAGTTACAGCTGTTACAGGCTGCTTCCTGGTAATGTGTAACAAAAAGGAGGACTGGGACACTTAAGCTTCAAAATCATCTCAAGATAGATTGTTTGCTACCAACAAACATTTGCTTAGTTTCTTATTTTTGCTTTAATTAAGAACAGTGGCTGTTTTTTTCTCCTTCGCTTGTCTTTCCTCAGTTTTGAGTTGATTTCTGATGCTTGCCTTATCTGTGAGCAGATTGTAGCCTGCAGTAGGCCTCTCAAGCCTCTGGGGCCTGGCATGTTTTTGAAAGATTTATAGTGGCAGGTCTTCAATCAGTAAGAAGCTACCCAAGAGCTGCTGTACAGAACGCAAGCATTATTACACTCGACATTTTTGATGGTTGAAATTACAAAATTATGGCTTGCGAATCGCTGCAGCACTTTTCTGCAATACTGTACTTTAATGTTTGCTACCATATAGGTAAAGCCTACTTTTGTACCAGAGAATTAAAAAAAAATTAAATTTTTTAATTTAATGTTTATATTGAAAATAGGCAACTAAATAGCTTAGTTCTTTTTTAAATTAAGAAAGTTCTTGTATGAATATAAGAAATATTCCAGTCACATGGGCTCTAGGAGACTGGAACCGTGGACCCCTACTCGTGTGAGACCGAAGCTTTATCGACCGAACTATTGAGTAGTCTTAATAAGGAAAGTCTCCAGAAGCAGCATCCTGCTGCCAAACTGGAATTTTTTACTTGCCCTGACTATTACTGAAGCTCAGAGGAATTAGTGATCCACACCCTCATCGTATAAATTTTCATCCACTTCTGTGGAAATACACATTCCACGGAATGTTTATTTCCACAAAGTGTGGATGAAAATTTATATAAGAAAGTTTGTCAAAACTTTGTTAGTCTGTTGGTCAAAATATATCCTTTGAAAACAGTGATTTTCTTGTGGTTGACATAGAGCAGGAGCTGGTGAGAATTTGTTGGCAAGTCATGTCAAGGACAAGCCTGTTACAGCATCTCTTTCCGTGATTAAAAACTTCATTATGTCTGAGGATATTGAGAACTAAGCTGCACATGCCTCTTTACACCAGGGAAAGATGGAAGGTTATATGGGCAGGAGTGATGGTATCTGAGCTTTGGTTTTGAATATCTTGTTAGAACTGCAAGTTCTCCATTGAGCAAAATATTAATTCAATAAAAGCATATCCTAAACATTTTTTCTTGATGTGGGTAAATGATGTAAGTTATGTCATCTAACAGCCGGCGAGATGACATGGAGAGCTTGGGATATGTCTTGATGTACTTCAACCGTGGGTCTCTTCCATGGCAAGGTCTCAAAGCGGCCACAAAGAAGCAGAAGTATGAAAAAATTAGTGAGAAAAAGATGTCAACGCCTGTTGAATCACTCTGCAAGGTAAGAAATGCTGAACATTTTTAGATCAAACTATAAAAAGTTTACAAAAGCTCCCTTAGAATAATAATTTTTAAAGGTACAAGCTTTATTTTAATATAGAAAACTTGTGTTTTGGTCTCTTGTTGCCATGTATGGTATCTACTATATATGGCAGCAAAAAAAGAACATGGAGCAAAATAGGCTTGCTTTTAAAATATGAATAATATATATTCTTCAATTAGTTGCATCTTGTCTTATTTCTATGGTGTCCCAAATTCATTGCCTCTTTCCCAACCCTCTGTGCGAGTTGTTGTAATTTTCGTAGATTTTGTCTTTATCTTGATCACACTTTGAAACCACTTAACATTGCAGTAAGTGGAACACTAAACGTAAGGACATGTGATGAATTGATGGCTTTCTTGACAAAGGTCCATAAACATCAAAATAATATTAGGTCACAAGTTGAACAGCAATGCTGTTCAGCTTGTGACCGTAGCATCTATTAAAAATGTCAAAATATTTATGTAACTGCCACTGTTTTGCGATGATTGTGTCATAGAAGAGCCCGACTGTGATAGATTACGTACATTGTTGAGATATCGGTGAACACAATGCTGTTTATGATGATCAGTGCTAGGCAGCCAGCCACAGCACTCTGCCATTGTTTGATCCAACTAAGCATCTTGAAATGATAGCTCAGGTTCCTTTACAAAATAAACTAGTGAAAAATTATTCATTTATTACAGATTTAGTGATTTAGGATTTTGATAATGGCAATATTCTGCCTAGAATTAGCAATTTGCATAGTAAGTTGGGAGGAGGAATTTTCCCGAGTGAGGTAACATTGTCAGCCGAGTAGGATGTAATCGTACTATGCTATTTATATGGTACTTGCCAGACTAGCTCATTGGTTCATGTTGTTGCACAAAAAATATGGATAGTTATGTGTGTGTGTATATAATGTAATAAAGGCAAAAACCATTATTTGATAATGGTGTTTTATTGTTTAAGAATATAATATTAGCATCATGAATGCGTGTATGTACCAATATTCTATACGTTCTATGATACAAATATTATTGACAGCCCAATACAACATTGCAGTTAAAAAGTCCATGGTAAAAGCATTCAAAATACAAAGGAAATATATATTCAATACATGCTGTTAGACTTTAGTGCAAAATATGCATGATTAGTCTGAACTCTAATAACCAGTTATAAAATTATTACACTTGCCAGAAACTTAGTGGTTCAAAATAGTGTATGAAAATATAGATACTGTAGTTATATATAACTATTGCATAAACGGTGTAATAACAGCAAAAACCGTTTTATTATTCTATGAATATAATATTTGTATCACTAATATGTACATCATGTTTGTGAGTATAGTGATGGGCCTCACATTTTATTATATAAATTTGTCAAGTTACACACTTTAATAATATTAATGAAAAAAGTCATTGAAATAATTAATCAAGAACAAGTTTGTGGCAATTGCCACCACATGGCTTGGCTGGAGCAGACCGGCTTGGGCGTCTTCTGTACTCTTTAGTACTATACCTATATTTTGCCAGACTTCCTTGCCTTATATGTAACGCACGATCCCTCCCCCTCCCCTCCCGTGATATCACGGAATGCATTTTAACAATATTTGAAGGACTTTTTTTTTTTTTTTTTTTTTCTCTCTCTCCCTCTTGTGCACCTGTGGGGCTGTCAACTCTTAATTGCTGTGCAGCCCAGGAGTTGATTCCCCATTCCCCCAAGAATAGTTTGATATACTGGATTTCTGCTTGTATAAAACCCGATGTTTCTTTACCTCTAATGCAACATAATTATTGACTTCTGTGGCGCTCATGCCAACCACCAGGAAATAACTATTATAATGTGGCTACTTTTTAGGAATGTAGTTAATTTTGAGATCAATTGGAAGCATGTTTTGCTATACCTGCTAACTGGCATGAAAATTTTTACAGGGTTTCCCAGCAGAGTTTGCAATGTACCTAAACTACTGCCGGGGGTTGCGGTTTGATGAAGCTCCTGATTACATGTACCTGCGCCAACTCTTCCGCATCCTGTTCCGCACTCTTCATCACCAGTACGACTATACCTTTGACTGGACCATGCTTAAGCAAAAGGCTGCATCAACTGCAGCAGCAGTATCAGGAACCACTCCTCAACCTGCAGCGACTCAAGGTACACAGAAGCAGCTCTGAGGTCTTGGATGAAGGTGATTAAAGGTTAGTAATTTTCTTACTAGTAGATACAATACAATTAGTGTGCTGGATATAAATGCAATGATATGATGAAGTAGGTGTTGAAAATATATTGAAATTATTGTTCTTTTAATTCTGCTGATCATTAAATGTGCTTATTACAACCCATGCTCCTGAAAGAGAACACTCATAATAACTGTCTAGTTGAAAATACTAATATGTAGTGAGGGACCACTAAAAAGGTTTTTTGCACTTTAATTTTATAGTAGAGAAAATAAAGTTAAAACCAACATCCCTAGGTCTAGTTTATTGCATATGTAGTGTATAAGGCACAGAATTGCTAAGAGAGGTTGTTAGGTACTATATTTATGTTGCTGTTGAAAAGTTTCCCATTGGCCAAATTCAGTAATAGTGGAACATAGACTTACCGAATGCCCCTACTTATGAATTTTTCAAGTTACTAACCCAATTTCATCGGAAAATTTGACTCTGCTTACGACCTTTGTTTCGACTTGTGACTTTCTTGATACATATGGGTCGACAAGCACGTGGTGCGCTTCAGTTTACCAGTGTGTCTCGCCTAATGTTGATGGCGCTTGAATTCTTTGTAAAAAATTTCATTGTTTTTCTGCTTTTTTTAACATGAGTAATTATTATATATCACGCCATGGGTCCCAAGAAAGTCGGTGGTAAAGTTCAACCTAAGAAAATAGTTGAGTAGAGGATGTCCCTGCCTCAAGAAAATGTGTGAAGTATGGGAAGAACTGCAAAGTTTTGTTGAAAAAACTCACTCAGATAAAGCTGTAGCATTGACCTTTTGAATGACAATGTGATGTCTCACTACAGACAAGTGTTTAAATGTAGGGAAAAACAAGTGTCTTTAGACAGATTCTAAACTTCAACTGTTTGGTTGTTCATCATTGCATATTGGTACTTCCTACCAATTAGTTACTAAAAGTATAGTACAGTACTATAATTTTAGAAGGCTGGGCTGGCTTATTAATCCATATAACATAAGATGTATCTTTTACTTTATTTAAAAAAAAATCTGCTGTGGGTTTACCATACATGTAGTTGCATGAAATAGTCATTTATTTGCCCACTTGGCTGTAAACTTAGATTGGATGGTGGAATTTTCTTGGCAGTACTACTCCTGTAGGTTCCCAGTATGTACAGTATTAACACTCACATTCCAAAGGCGCATTTTTGCATCCGATTGCCATTCATAGCTATTCATATAGTCATCTTTGAAAAGCATAATCTATTATAAACAAAATCTTTGTTTTTGCATCTATTCTAAAGAGAATTCATTTGCTAACATTTTGACATTAAATTTGTTATAACCCAACAAATAACATGGGAAACATATAAGGATTGTGAGCAGCCTTGGGAACTCGAAACGCTTAGTCAGACATGCCGGGAGAGGCCAGACCCCCAACTTATGCACTTTGTCTGCAAAAAATAAAGAGCTGCTGTTAAATTTTTTCCTGTGAAGCTTAGCCTATGTCTTGCTGGTCCCTAGCAGAAACTTTGTAATCTAAACTTTGTGTGGATTAGAGCCAAGGTTGCACACTAAAAACTATTATAAGTTGCCCAACAACACGCCGTTCAATTTGGGCACAGCAGTAAATGGTGACGCGAGTAGGAGATTACTGCTGTTATTCCTCGACCATTCAACTGCCGTTAAATTTGTACATTACATGGCAAAAAGTTACCGGTGAGAAAAAAAAAATTCCTTCAGGCTCATTACACTTCTGTATTCTTTTGTATTTTAAATATTTAGCCAACTTGCCATTATAGATCTACATTTTGAATAGCTATATATAAATTTTAATTAAAATGACAAAACAAAGCTTTCAGATTTTTTAATATGGAAAAATTTAGGACTAGGAGGTATAACAGGTTTTTATATTATATGCAAAGGATTAAGGGCGCACAAGGATTTTTTTTTTTAATTCAATAAACTGTGTATCTAGTCTTACTGTTAACTTCCTGTAAAGGGAAAATTCAATACTTCTTTACTCACATATTTATTTCATTCCAGGAGGCCACTAAAAGAATGCTAGTGAATACAATGGATAAATTTGTGGAAAGAAGCAAGCCCAAGGTGATCCCCTTTCTTTATGCTGCAAGAAAACAAAGAAATGGAGGACATTCGCTTGATTTAATGGCCCGAAGCAGCGATGGTGCAATGAGCATTTTTATTGATGAGTAGCAGGGAAATGATTGCTCGTCTGCATTGCCCTGATCATCGCTGTTGTTGTTGCTTATTGGCCACTAGTGCTGCTTGCGATGGCCTTATCTTTGGACATCATATTTTTCTTCTGACCTGTTTTAAAAATGATTTATTTGAATTTGTATAATTCTATATGATGTCCGAAGAATGTTGTAGAATGATTCCTCATGGGTGAAGGGATGATTTTCTCTTGAAATCTTGTGTGTGATAATCTTGGTGGTTACAGAAAATCTTATGGATCTGTTGGTTGTTTCTGATTTTTAATATGATGACATGGAAAGCAAGCTGAAAATAAACTTTAAACACGAAAGGGTCTTTCTAGCTCCGTAGTTTTTCTCCACACGACCAGTTCATGTTGAATTCACTTCATATATATTTAGCCATATCATACCTATAACTTTCCTTAAGAAGAAAGTTCTCTACGTGGCTACCGAGTTGATCCTCAAGTGGAGTAACAACTGACCCCCAAAAAAAAAATGAATAAGGTGTAAAAATTTAAAAAAAAAAAGTCAATAATTTCTACATAGGCAAGGGTTTATTTTAGTAGTGCTTATTTCTCATTTTAAGTTTTTAAGAAGGGAGCTTCTTTGTATGTAGAAAAGGCGAGTCTGATAATGGATGAATGCTAGGATTAGACAATGGAGAGAGAGAGCACGCATTGAGCGGGGTTCATTTCGGCGTGATAGCTCGTAACCCGCAAAGAGTATCCAACTTTCATATTTTGTATTAACTGCTGCACCTTAGCAGTTATTAATCATAAGTTTTTAATTATGCAGAGGAATTGATATGATTTTGTTGTTGCAACTGTATATTAGTTCAGATACATAATACAGGATAATTCTACAACCTGTATCCTGTAAAAGTCCTTCTTTCATAGAGGATTGTTATTTCCTTCATTTTGTATTTTCTTAATTGAGTTCTCCATTTTGTTTGTGTAGCACTCAGTGTTTGAGCTGAACATAACCCATGTAACTTCTTGTATAACATTTGCTTATATTGTTAAGGTGAGTGTGTGTGTGCGCGCGTGTATGTGAGAGTATTTGTTGATACCGTGTCTGGCAGGTGTGTTATGGCTACTTCTCAAGTCGTTTCTCGTCAGTGTAATGTAATAAAAACTGATTGATATCAGATAAATAGGATGTATTAATCCCACTTTATAACACAAAACTGTAAGTCAATATAGGATGGAAGGATATAATTTCTTTTATTTCTCTTCGCTCTTACTCCTTCCCTTTGTACACTAGAAAGTTTTTGATCTATGGAGCACTTGTATCCCCTTTTTCTGAAACGTGCATATGCCAAGTGGTTGGCATAATGTATCCCATGATATGATTATCCTCATTGCCATGTAGGTAAACAAATAATAGTAGACTTGTAAACAGGCAGCAAAAATGAATTTTTTGGGAGATCTTTTATATCTTTCCACAAGGCCTTCATGATGGAAGTGATGCTGGTTTGAAAAATAGTGGAAACTTTAAATGCTTTAAGGCTTGTTTACAAAATATACCCTCAGACAGTGGCCCTTAAAGTATATTCTAATTAAATTTGTTTTTGATTGGCTTTCATGGACTGCACCGAGGCATGGATAATCATGCTTCAATTTTAAATATTGTACATCTAGTTCTTTTATGTAAAGTGTCAAATTGACTTGGCTTCCATGCCTCGGTGACTAAAGAATGGAGCAGAAGATGCAACTTCACAGGATCATTTTCCAGTCAACCTAGATGACTTCTTTGTAATTCTCATAATGTCCAATGGAATATTTTTGTCACTAATTGGTTGGAAAAGAAACTTAAGAGTTTGAGGATTAAATATGAAGATTCGTGATAGATTTTCATACATAGTTTGTGTCCTCAGAAGAATGTTGTGAAGAAAGCCTTTCTGGAACTGCCTGAAGATGGCTTTCTGAGGAATGTTTGGGACAAAGTGACAACCTGACATTCTTTTAGTGACAGTCGTCACAGTTTTACAACATGTTTTTATCACAGTTATCAAAATAAAAATCATATAATGAACCTTGTTTAAAACTGCTTTTTAGACTTTAGGGTTATTTTGATATCACATGTGCACATAGTATCTAATATGAGAAGTACTTTTAATAGGAGATAAGGAATTCATGTACAGATGGTTTTTGGATCACAGGATCATTTAAAGATTTAATGACTACATAACTAATGTAATAAATTACTAGTGATCTACTGACTTCAGGCATTCTGATTGAAAGTATTATCAGGAGTGAATAGTGTGGTCAATTATTCCTAGGAAACTAATAATTTAAGAAATCAAATGCTTAAGAAGCAATCTTTAATCACTGTAAATGACTAAACATTTGGTCATAATTTTCTATCAATGACAGTTCTTTGTTGGAAATATTTTGTAATTTTTGTCCAGTTGTGTGCATGTGTGTGGGGTGAAATTGTTATTCTCAATTTCATTTTCTGCTGAAATTTCATTGCACAAGTGATACCAAAATGTCCAACAGTCTTTTAAAGTGACAGTGTATAAATAGACATTGACCTCTACCATCATGAGTCACTTTTTGGGGTGACCTATAGTATGTAAAGTTAAAAGGTGTTCACAATTAATTTTTTTTTTAACCAGTTCATTATTCATCCTTATTTTCAGTCACGTGAAGCTGTAGAGCATTGCATAGAAGTGTAGTCTAATAAAAACAGAAAATTAATTGCTCTTAATTATCCTATTTTCATCATGTTCCTGAACTTACTTTCTTGTGACTTCAGATTATTCTATTCCCACTTCAATGGGACGAAGAGGCATCAGCCTGGAATAAAAGGGAAATAGTTGGCACATTTGAAGATTGATTTTTCCATCAGTCCATTCACAATGTATTACACACTATAGCACCTTGATGTGGTTATGAGGGATTTTTGCTTCCCTCTCCTGATTGCTGTGGTCGCACACAAATAAAGTACACACCCACGTGTTAGTTGTACTCGCCTAGTTTAGCTTCGGATCTTTGGTCTAAATCTCGACTGTCACTCCACTGGTGTACAAACCCGAGCCTATTGGGCTTTATCATATCCACACTTGAAACTGTTTTGGAGTCTACATCCAAACATCACTGCCTAATGCATTCCATTTGTTAACTACTCTTGACACTGAAAAAGTTCTTTCTAACGTCCCTGTGGCTCATTTGGGTAGAGTACTGTACAAAGTTTCCACCTGTCCTTCCTTGTTTGCATACCACCTGTGCTAAATAGTTTATCTTCATTTACCCTGTCAATTCCTCTGAGAATTATACTGTGTGGGTGGTAATCGTGTGTGTAACTCTTGTCTTCCAGTGTCGTGAGGTTTAGTTCCAGTAATCTTTCCTCGTAGCTTATACCCCTTGGGTCGGGGACTAGCCTGGTAGCATACCTTTGAACCTTTTCTACTCGTTTTGTGTTTGATTAGATATTGAATCTATGCTGGAGCTGCATACTCCAGTATTGGTCGGACGTGTGAGGTATACAGGGTTCTGAATGATCCCTTGCAAAAGTTTTTGAAGGTGGTTCTTACGTCTGCTGCTGATATCATTTTCATGTGGGCTTCAGTGGACAGGTCTGGCATGATATCAAACCCCCAGATCTTTCTCTTCCTGATTCCTGAAGGATTCCTTCTCCCAACTGGTACCTTGTGTTTGGCCTGCTCCCTACACCTATCTTCATCACTTCACACTTGCCCTAGCTAAACTCTAGTATCCCTCTGTTGGACCATTCCTTCAGTGTGTCCCATGCATTCCCTTATGTTTATTCATCTGGGAGTTGAACGTACCCGGTGGCTGTGGCCTCTGGGGCGTAACACTTCTTTGGTGAGTGGATGGGGTTAAAATAAGTTCAATGCAGCCCATCTGAACCACTTTACTTGTCTAGTTAGCTAACCTAGTTAGACATCAGGTCAAGTGGGCATTGTGGGGAGTGGTATCACTATCTATCCCTTAGATGCCACTTAGTCCTTTAATGGTGACCCCCTTAGATTGCTTTCCCATGTGTTTGAGTCCTGTACAGGCCAGCCCATACTTCCTAGGGAACTGATAGACTCGCTCCTCTCGTGCTGTCTAAAAATCGATTATGGCTACCCAGCTTACTCCTTTGACCCTTTGTGTTGATGTTTTGCACCATACTGATTTATGCCTTGGCTATGGTGCCTTTCGTTCGTCCCCAGCCCAGAACTTTTTATGTCGAAACTGGTGTCCTGTGTCTAGCATAGTTTGATCGATACTGCCTTTGCTATCTTGCATGGTCCCTGGAGCATCCTCACTCTCGATTGTGCCGTGCTTTGATTATTACCCCTCAGATGGGCCCAGTTCCCTTTCTCCACTTGCCTTTTTCTGTAATGATGACTTACTTGCAAGATTCCCTCTTGGTTCATGTTATCAATATCCCTCCTCGTGTCGTTCCATCCTTGCATACGATCCCATGGAGGGTACCATTTGTAAATTTTGCAAGATTTTAACCCACATGTGAAGGTTTATACCCCTCCTACTGTTATACCCGAGTTCACCTGAGACCCACTAAGGGGCCTCGAGGACAGGAAGCTGGCGGCTTGTCGAAGGTCCTTCCATTTACCTTCTTTTTGTATTGAAATCATTCTACCTGTATTGAAATTATTCAATTTGGAATCTCTCAATACTGAATAGATCGAATACTAATGACCCAAAGTTGATAACAAAAGATTTGAAGAACCTCATAGGTAAAAAGAGAGCGTGGTACAAAAGGATTAATTATGGGGAAGTCAGTTTAGAACAGGAATTCGTACAACTGGTTAGAAATGTTTAAAAACGAGATAAGGAAAGCAAAAAGAAACTATAAAGTTCGCATAGCAAAGCAAGCAAAGGCAAATCCTAAAGTTTTTTTTCAGTTACATTGAACAAAGACTAGGGAAAGGACAGGTCCATTAAAAACTGAGACAGGTCATATAACGGATAATGACGAGGAGATGAGTAGTATTTTTAATAAATATTTTATATCTGTATTTACTAAAGAGGAACTTAACAATATGCCTTCAGCCGAACAAGTCTGTGGGTGGAAACGAGGACAGGTTAACTAGTTCAGCAGTTACCAGGGAGGATGTAATTAAACAAATAGTAAAACTAAAACCAAACAAATCCCCACTTCTGCCGAATGAAGTCTCCGTGGTGTAGTGGTAAGACACTCGCCTGGCGTTCCGCGAGCGCTATGTCATGGGTTCGTATCCTGGCCGGGGAGGATTTACTGGGTGCAATTCCTTAACTGCAGCCTCTGTTTAACGCAACAGTAAAATGTGTACTTGGATGAAAAAACGATTCTTCGCGGCAGGGGATCGTATTCCAGGGACTTGCCCGAAACGCTACGCGTACTAGTGGCTGTACAAGAATGTAACAACTCTTGTATATATCTCAAAAAAAGTGTTTACCAGGGTGCTTAAAGAATGCAAATTGGAGCTTTGCGAGCCACTGTCTACCATATTTAATAAATCAATAGAGTCAGGCAGAGTGCCATAGTCATGGAAGGTTGCTAATGTGATACCAATTTTTAAGAAAGGAGATAGATCACTTGCGTCAAACTATCGGCCAATTAGCCTAACGCCCATTGTGGGAAAGTTACTCGAATCGATAATTGCAAATATCATTCGTCTTCATCTTGAAGAACATAAATTAATAAATGAGTCGCAACATGGTTTTACAAATGGCCGTTCATGTTTAACAAATTTGCTATATTTTTATTCCAGCATAGTTTAGGCAGTTGATAGTGGTAAGGATTGTGATGTTGTGCACCTTCACTTTAGCAAAGCTTTTGATACAGTGCCACATGAAAGACTGATTAAAAAATATAGGCTCATGGTATTGGGGGTGCTATATTAAGTTGGATTGGGGCATGGCTATACCAAAGGAAACAGAGAGTTAGTATATATGGGTTAAGTCAGAGTGGAATAATGTTGTAAGTGGAGTGCCTCAAGGTTCTGTCCTGGGACCTCTGTTGTTTATAATATATATATATATATATATATATATATATATATATATATATATATATATATATATATATATATATATATATATATATATATATATATATATATATATATATATATATATATATATATATAAATGATTTAGATTCAGGTTTGAGTAGTAACATTTGCAAATGTGCCGATGATACAAAAATCGGTAGGGAAATTAACACGGAAGAAGACTCACTATCACTTCAAATTGATCTAAAAAGGGTTTTGAAATGGGCAAAAGATTGGCAGATGCAGTTTAATGCTGATAAATGTAAAGTTCTGAGGCTAGGTAATGATGATAGAGTTACAAGATACGAGCTAGATGGTGTTGAGATTGCGAAGTCGGATTGCGAAAGGGATCTGGGAGTTATGATTAGTAAGAATTTAAAACCAAAGGATCAATGCATGAATGTACATAAGACACGTACACGAATGTACATAAATAAGGCACATAAGACACTGGGATTTATTAATCGAAGCGTTAGTAACAAGACATCTGGTTTGTTCTTCAGCTATATCTTGCTTTGGTTAGGCCCCATTTAGATTATGCAGTTCAGTTTTGGTCGCCGTACTATAGAATGGATATAAATTCACTTGAACGTGTCCAGCGTAGGACGACAAAGTTAATTCCCCAAATTAGAAATTTTCCATATGAAGAAAGATTAACAAGGCTTAAATTGCATTCACTGGAAAGGCGAAGAGTTAGGGGTGACATAATAGAGGTTTACAAGTGGATGAATGGTCATAACAAAGGGGATATAAACAGGGTATTAAAAGTATCAACACAAGACAGAACACGAAACAATGGGTATAAATTGGATAATTTTAGATTTAGGGAAGACTTGGGTAAATACTGGTTCGGTAACAGGGCTGTTGATTTTGTGGAACCAATTCTACTCAGCCCTTGACAAAAATGAGTTTCCGATTGGACTCTTCATTGACCTGAGAAAGGCCTTTGATACTGTTAATCACAACTACCTCTTACGTAAACTCCATCATTATGGAATCCGAGCTGTTACGGGAGACATCTCCCGTCACGCAGGGTGCATTCGCACCTCCACAGATCTCCAGTATCTCTATTGATACTGGTGATGGTTCAAAAGGGCCACGACTTACGGGCTATTCATGCCCGAGCCACCTTTTGGGTGGCTTAATCTTTATCAATCAATCATCGGTCATGCGCTCTCTCCTACTCCCGCCACGCACCACTTCACAAGTCAAACTCACCCTCCTCCCCTTCCTGGGTGCAGTCAGCTAAACTAAGCAACAGTCTTATGTCTATTGAGGGGGGTGTAGCGCCGGCCCCTAAGTGTTCCGCTGTCCGGCAGCTACCTACTCTGACTTGTAGGAGTAATGCTAATTTTGCCCTTTATGTGTATTCTGCATGTACTGGTTAATTTACGTACTAATTCATTATGAATTGTACTTGTAGGCCCCTCCTAACCACTCTGCATACTCTGCCTCCACACAGGTCGCACACCAAACCTGTGTCAGGTTTGGTTAGGGTCTGTAAGTTTTAATTTCCTTGAACTGTAACCTGGGGCTGGTCCTCTCCCCCAGTTCGGCTGAGATGATCTACCTGCACAGCTGCTCTAACAAGGTGGTCCTTGATAGACTTACCTCGCCTCCAGGCGATCATGGGAGGGTTTTGTGGGAATTTTACCCAGGATGGATGTTCACTGTACGTTTCCCTCATCCATGTCCATACTTCCTGGAGTTTTATCTTAAGCTGTGCAGCAAGGCCGGGGAAGAAAAGGGTTGGAAGAATCCAGCTCTTGTCTTCCACTTCTTGTGTTCTAGGTCTGAGTAGCTCTGCCCTTGTTTTTTCTCTGAGTTTCTCCTGGGCCGCATGTATTATTGTCTCTGGGTAGTCTCTGTTCCTGAACATGTCCCATAGGTCATCAAGCTGGGGATATAGCGTCTCTTCTTTGCTGTTAATCCGCTTGAGTCTGAGTCCGAGTGAGTAGGGTAGCGATTTCTTCAAGGCTAGTGGGTGGCTCGAGTCAAATTTCAGATACGTGTGAAGGTTAGTCGGTTTATAGTATGCCTTCGTATGCAGATCCCTGGTTAGCGGGTCTATATACACTGTTGTATCTAGGAAATTAATCGTGGAGTCACTGTGCTCGAGGGTAAACTTAAGGTTTTCATGAACCGTATTTGACCATGAAAAGAAACCTTCTTGGCGCTGGAAACCGTCCTCCATTATTCCGAAGATGTCGTCTATGTAACGGAAATATACCGCCGGTCCGTCCTTCCTGTGGGATCGTTTCCTCTCGAACACTACTGCTCAAATATTTCAGCGATTGCCACACTACTGGATGCTCCTATCACTGTACCCTTGGTTTGCCGGTATGCCCGTCCTTCAAATTGCAAAAGGGTGTCTCTCATCACATTGAGGATGGCCTCTTCAAGAGTTTCTTTCGAGGGGGTCCTCCATACTCCTGCGTCTTGAAGTTCCTGTCTAATTTTTGCTCTGTTATCTGTAAAAAATGATGCTACTACCTTTGCAGCTTCTCTCTGTGGTATGCTCGGGTAGAGCGATACCACATCCATGGAAAAAAGGCGGGCCCCTCTCCTTTAAAACAGTGCTGTTTGTCGACCAAATTGTATTTTTGTTTTTTTTCTGCCATGTTCCCTCTTTTTTTATTTTTTTATTTTCTCAACACATTTTATACTTTAATCTCAATTAGTATTAAATTTAAGTCTTTAGCGTTTTTCCTGCCCGAAACGCTTTGCGTAATAGTGACTTTAGGCATTGTATGTACTAGCTCAATCTATAAATTCATCAATTTTTGTATCACCCCTTGTATGTATGTATTTTACCTAAATAAACATTTGAATATGATTTTTTTTATGAAGATCTGTTGAAAAAACTAACTTCAGAACTGTTTCTATTGGATTTAGCTCTAATGTCTGACACGTTGCATTAACTTGATTTACTGTCAAGAGTGTCTACGGAAACGCACTACTTCGATTGTGTATGCAGACAAACTGGTTCAACGGAGCATAAGGTCATTGCATGGACTAAAAGAGAAACCTGGCACTAGAACTTTAGAAGCTCAAAAGGCAATTTAAAAGGGGAAGTTTGGAGGAATTACCATAAAAAGCAATAAGAAAATTTTCACAATATTAGCATATTGTTTCCATTAATTATCAACAGTTTCTTACCAGGCTTGCGAACAATTTGCAGCACCGTATGTTCACGACAACATCCATGAAAGGCTCTCAAACTTCAAAACCTCAAAGTACGTATAAATCACTGCCAAGTGAAATGTATGTCCTTGCAAAAAAGACTTCTGGCGGCTGGCCTGATGAAATACCACCTAATTACGGAGAAGCTGAAATATTATATCTCCGTAAGAGGTTTAAGTTTTCTTCTTACTCTGCACTAAATACCTTTAGAGACTATGTAGAGGATCATGGACGCCGCATCCCCCAAGATTTACACCCATTACTGAGCTGTTTACAAGCTATTCTTATTAGTACTGCTGAGGTGAGAAGGGATTCAGTCATCAACACTGCCACTCTTCAGGTAATGAAAGGTGTCCAGCAGCAAGACATCCTCATACTGTCAAGCAGTATCATCCCTTGCGATAGCAGCCACATAGTAAGAACTGACGATTTAAATGCGAGCACAGCACACAGTATATCCTTTCAAGACCAAAGATTACATTCACTCCTAAAAAACTACCACTAATGCGCTGTTCATGCCCGTGCCACCTCTTGGGTGGCTTACTCTTCATCAATCAATCTCTTCCTATTTGTTAATTAACATTCTCCCAGCTGCCATGTATTTACGGGCTCACTATAGCCCGTGCTACACGGGACATTTCGTTATGAGTAGCTAAATCTAAAACAACAACAACTGCCATGTATCCACTGCCTGCATAGATGTCGAATGGAGCTTCAACGAAACTTGTCCAAGATACATGCGTCAGACCATATTATAATTGTAAAATGAACTTTGGAGAGTTAAGTTTTCAACTTCCTTCCCAAATGAAAACATAGGAAATATAAAGAAGAATCATTTACTTAATCGTTTGTGTCCTTTAATAGCAAACATATATATTAAAACATACACACACACACACGCTTATTTCAAACCAACACTACGATAGCCAATATTGCATAGGAATAACTTTGTCATAAAAATAAATACTATCAAAAGAAGTTACATATCATTGTTCAAAAATCCTCTAAACTAATATTGGATTATAAGTTACAATACTATTCAATTTCCTTAAAATAGCTTAGAGCAGTTTGCAATATATACAAAAAATATAAATCTAATAAACTTCCGTATAAAGATGCAATACTTTCAAGCCATCAATATCTCATAATAATAACAAAGGTAATTCAGCTCTCAGGCCGCTATATGCATAAACTTCTCTTGCCCTTCAGATGGGGATCTTAAAAGCAAGCTAAAAGCCACATATAACTGGCCTCATTCACATACAAGGATATAGCCCTGTTCCAGCAGCGATGTGGCCGAGGCGTTGATTCCTAGAGCAGAGAGGATTGTCTTTGCCTCTTCCTCGCTTTTGAATGGACATAATATGTACTTGTTGGACATTTTCTGGCCCCGGCCAAGGACCACCCGTAGTTGGTTCCTCTTGCACTCATCAATTGTATCTTGCAGCATTTGTTCTGGAGTCCTTGTATTATGTTTTCGGATATTCAGCTTGTTTTCGGTGAATTGTATCTTCATTTTGGTGATCCTAGGCGTCTGTTTTGAGAAATTGGGAATCGGTTCAGGGTTCAAGAGGTGGTTAGAATCTGCATTCCCCTTAACCCAAGCTAGCCCAGTGCAGGCCTTCGTCTGATCTTTCCTGTGCAGTTCCACTCCCAAACAACGAAGCAACAATAACATGCTCTTATTGCTTGCTTGATGTAACTGGTGATTAGAGCAAAACATGGCGTACTTCTGAAGGAGGTCATCCAGTAAAACCAGTTTAGTTTTGTCCGTTGTAAAACGAAGGTTGGTCTGGAAAAACATCTCTAGTGACCCACTAATATCCATAATTTTTATCGGCACCGATCTGGAAATAGAACATGTAATGAATAAATTCAATAACATACGGTATTAGGGAAGTAAAGAAAGGAATCGGCTGACACCACACTGCTTGATAGAAAGATATATTAATAAAGTAGTTTTAATAATATCCGTTTGTGTAGCCTAGTTCTGTTATAAGAACATAAGAACAAAGGTAACTGCAGAACTGTTAGTAGATAGAACAGTTTAAACTGTTAGTAGATAGAGGTATGGGAATTGATTTGGAGGAAGTAGGTAATAAAAGTATGTGTTCGTGGGAGAAAGGAATTGGCAAAACGATCAGGGAAAGAGAAGGTCCGCAAAATAACAATTCACTTAGGGTATATTACACTAACAGTAGAAGTCTAAGAAATAAAATTAACGAATTAAATGCTCTTGTCTGCACAGAAAAAATAGATATTATTGCACTTACCGAAACGTGGATGAATGTAGAAAATAGAGAACTATTAGCTGAATATCAAATATATGGATTTAAACTATTTCACACAGATAGATATATTAGACGAGGAGGTGGAGTAGCCATATATGTTAGGGACAATTTGAAATGTAGTCTCAAAGAGGGAATCAAAACAGAGCCACACACAGAAACTATTTGGATTGAATTAAACGAAAAAGCTAATAATATTATAATAGGAGTAATATATAGGCCACCAAATTTAGACAGAATGGAAGCAAAGCATCTATGGGATGAAATATCTAGAGCATCTAGATCTAACAGTATTTATGTCATGGGTGACTTTAATTTTAGCGGAATAAACTGGTTGAACAAAACAGGGAATAGTGAAGCAGAAGATTTTCTAGAATTAATTGACGATTGCTTTCTTACGCAACACATTAAGGAACCAACACGGGAAAATAATATTTTAGATTTAGTGTTAACTAACAGGGAAACGCAAATTAATGACATCGAAATAGGGAGTGAGCTAGGGAGCAGTGATCACAAAGAAATCAGATTTAGCATAGAATGGAATAGACCAGTAGGAGAAAATTCTGTTAAAGTGCCAGATTTTCGAAAAGCTGATTTTAATAGCCTAAGAAATTTTTTGGGTCAAATTGATTGGAAAGTCTTGGGTATGGGGTGTGGGCCGGTCTTGGAGCGAGACATGAACCCAGCGATAGGTGACTTAAATGGGGATTTCGATGTGGATTCAATATATAACTTATTTAAGAATATTCTAAACAAAGCACAGGAACGTAGTATACCATACAAATTGAATAGATCGAATACTAATGACCCAAAGTGGATAACAAAGAATTTGAAGAACCTTATAGGTAAAAAGAGAGCTTGGTACAAAAGGATTAAAAATGGGGAGGTCACTTTAGAACAGGAATTCGTACAACTGGTTAGAAATGTTAAAAAAGAGATAAGGAAAGCAAAAAGAAACTATGAAGTTCGCATAGCAGGGCAAGCAAAGACAAATCCTAAAGGGTTTTTTCAGTTATATCGTACTAAGACTAGGGAAAGGATAGGTCCATTAAAAACTGAGACAGGTCAAATAACAGATAGTGATGAAGAGATGAGTAGTATTTTTAATAAATATTTTGTATTTGTATTTACTAAAGAGGAACTTAACAATATGCCTTCAGCCGAACAAGTCTATGTGGGTGGAGACGAGGACAGGTTGACGAGTTTAGCAGTTACCAGGGAGGATGTTCTTAAACAAATAGTAAAACTCAAACCAAACAAATCCCCAGGGCCGGATGAAGTGTTTGCCAGGGTGCTTAAAGAATGCAAAGAGGAGCTTTGTGACCCACTGTCAACCATATTTAATAAATCAATAGAGTCAGGCAGAGTGCCAAAGTTTTGGAAAGTTGCTAATGTGATACCAGTTTTTAAGAAAGGAGATAGATCACTTGCGTCTAACTATCGACCAATTAGCCTAACGTCTATTGTGGGAAAGTTACTCGAATCTATAATAGCAAATAAAATTCGTCTTCATCTTGAAAAACATAAATTAATAATTGAGTCGCAACATGGTTTTATAAATGGCCGTTCATGTTTAACAAATTTGTTATCTTTTTATTCTAGCATTGTTGAGGCAGTTGATAGTGGTAAGGATTGCGATGTTGTATACCTTGACTTTAGCAAAGCTTTTGATACAGTGCCACATGAAAGACTGATTAAAAAGATAGTCTCATGGTATTGGGGGTGCTATATTAAGCTGGATTAGGGCATGGCTATACCAAAGGAAACAGAGAGTTAGTATAAATGGAATCAAGTCAGAGTGGGAAAATGTTGTAAGTGGAGTGCCTCAAGGCTCTGTCCTGGGACCTCTGTTGTTTATAATATATATAAATGATTTAGATTCAGGTTTGAGTAGCAACATTTGCAAATTTGCCGATGATACGAAAATCGGTAGGGAAATTAATTCGGAGGAGGACTCACTATCACTTCAAGTTGATCTAGATAGGGTTTTGAAATGGTCAAAGGATTGGCAGATGCAGTTTAATGCTGATAAATGTAAAGTTCTGAGGTTAGGTAATGATGATAGAGTTACAAGATACGAGCTAGATGGTGTTGTGATTGCGAAGTCGGATTGCGAAAGGGATCTGGGAGTTATGATTAGTAAGAATTTAAAACAAAAGGATCAATGCATAAATGTTCGTAATAAGGCAAATCGGACACTTGGATTTATTAATCGCAGCGTTAGTAACAAGACACCTGGTGTGGTTCTCAAGCTATATCTTGCTCTAGTTAGGCCCCATTTAGATTATGCCGTTCAGTTTTGGTCGCCATATTATAGAATGGATATAAATTCACTTGAACGTGTCCAGCGTAGGATGACTAAGTTAATTCCCCAAATTAGAAATCTTTCATATGAAGAAAGATTAACAAAGCTTAAGTTGCATTCACTGGAAAGGCGAAGAGTTAAGGGTGACATGATAGAGGTTTACAAGTGGATAAATGAACATAACAAAGGGAATATTAATAGGGTGTTAAAAGTATCAACACAAGACAGAATACGAAACAATGGGTAAAAATTGAATAAGTTTAGATTTAGGAAAGACTTGGATAAATACTGGTTCGGTAACAGGGTTGTTAATTTGTGGAACCAATTAACGCATAACGTAATGGAGGTGGGATTCCTCGATTGTTTCAAACGTGGGTTGGACATTGTATATGAGTGGGATTGGGTGGTTATAAATAGGAGCTTCCTCGTATGGGCCAATAGGCCTTCTGCAGTTACCTTTGTTCTTATGTTCTTATGTTCTTATGTTCAGAAGGCCTATTGGCCCATACGAGGAAGCTCCTATTTATAACCACCCAATCCTACTCATATACAATGTTCAACCCACGTTTGAAACAATCGAGGAATCCCACCTCCATTACGTTATGCGTTAATTGGTTCCACAAATTAACAACCCTGTTACCGAACCAGTATTTATCCAAGTCTTTCCTAAATCTAAACTTATTCAATTTTTACCCATTGTTTCGTATTCTGTCTTGTGTTGATACTTTTAACACCCTATTAATATTCCCTTTGTTATGTTCATTTATCCACTTGTAAACCTCTATCATGTCACCCTTAACTCTTCGCCTTTCCAGTGAATGCAATTTAAGCTTTGCTAATCTCTCTTCATATGACAGGTTTCTAATTTTGGGAATTAACTTTGTCATCCTACGCTGGACACGTTCAAGTGAATTTATATCCATTCTATAGTACGGTGACCAAAACTGAACTGCATAATCTAAATGGGGCCTAACCAGAGCATTTAATAAATCCCATTGTCCTATTTGCCTTATTAGTTAATCTTTCATATAAAGAAAGATTAATAAAGCTTAAATTGCATTCACTGGAAAGGCGAAGAGTTCTTAAGTGAGTTACTACTGTCCACCATTGCCATTCTCATTACCTTTTCTTCACCCTCTTGGATCATCTTGATTCTTGCTTTTATTTGTTCCAAAGTTATCTGACATACAACATCAACAAGAGTTTTTCCGTTGCTCTCTTCGCTATCTCATCAACTACCTCATTCTTCGCTATCCTATCAACTACCTCATTCTTCGCTATCTCATCAACTACCTATTCCCACATGTGAAGGGATCCACATGAATCTTACTTTATACCCAGTTTTTTTCTAATTTCTTAACATTCTCTCTACACTCTATCACAATTTTCTGGTAAACTGTCGTCTGCTATTTTGATTATTGACCAATTTGTTTAACTACTAATATTTATTTATTTATTTACTTATTTATACACATAAATATATACATATATATACAAGAAGGTACATTGGGTTTATTAGAGTACAGAGACTAAGTTTTACATTCTTGTAAAGCCATTAGCACGCATAGCGTTTCGGCAGTTAATAAAGTTAATATCTGATATGTATTAACTTAAAGAAAATTGTAATCTTCTGTTTATTTAGTTCAAATTCCTTCTGCTGTTCTGTTGCATTTTATACTGTTCTATCCATCATGAAATTATTATCATTCTCATTTAGTATTAAATTTTAGTCTAATATTTTTTTCCTGCACCTTGCCCAAAACGCTGCTCTATTAATCCCACATTATTTTTGTAACTCATTTTCAATGTATGTACCTTTACCTGAATAAATATCTTATCTTAAAGAGTTTATGGTAAACTCAGTTTTCTTTCATAAGCCATAAGGCATAGGTTTCCTTTTATTTCAATATCTAGAGATTCTCAAATTGTTTTTGAATTTCATATTTCACATGTTGGAGTATAAATACACTGTTTTAACCTAACCAAAACTAACTAACTCAACCTAACCTACCCTAACCTTAGGTTCGGATTAGGCTAGGTTAGCCTAATTATTAACCTAAAGCCTAAAAATTAACCTAATCTAACCTTAGGTTAGGATTAGGCTAGGTTAGGTCAGTTAACCAATCCTCAGGGGTACGTACATGTTAATTATTTTAAAACCACTACATAATTAGTGCTATTATCTGCTCACTATCAGTGGTTAGTTGTGGGTTTGTGTAAATTACAAAATTACACGTCGTGTATAACGTACTAATATCTAACCACGAAGAAAAAATTAAACAAGAAATGACTTGAGGGCTTATGTGTTGATTATTACGAGAGTTGCCGGGATTGGTCAGTCCTGGAGCTCAATTCATGAGCTCCAGGACTGACAATCATTATAGGCTGGTGAACATTACGGGGGGGAACCCTGGCAATGCAGGTTCGAACCTTGGTTGGGTCATAAAGTTCTTAATCTTAATTTAAGTGATTTATGGCTTCCAGACCAATCCTATTTGTGGGCTCAACGCGGCCCGAGCATGCACTATGATTTGATGATAAGCTGTGCCCAAATCTCACCATGAGAGTTGCCGGGGATTGGGCAGTCATGGAGCTCAGCTAGTGAGCTACAGGTCTGACCAATCCTTATAGACTATTGGTGGTGAAGTGATTATCCTACTGTGTACATTAGGGGGTGAGACCAAACAATGATGGTTCGAACTTTGGTCGGGACATAATGTTGTGAAGTGAATTATGGCTTGGGGACAGATCAAAGTCCCAGCCCGTCCTCCAAACAAAGACCCCAAGGTGATTCCATGCACACGCCAAACCCCCTGTTTATGAATGAAATACGCTTTACACACGACTCACAATTGATTTCGTTCGAACACTTCCGGAACAAGTGCTTCACTGACGAATTTTGTTCGTATCACAACGCTATAAATGCTTCACCCGCGTAGTACAAATAATCGCCAACAGAACCTAAATACTTAACCTAACCTATGCCTATATATGCACACTATGCTATTATAATATTAATTTATATTTGAGAAAATTCCTGTTTTGAATGAACAGCATGTCAAAATTTATGAATGTGTCTGTTGGGTCGACAGCTGGATGTAATGGACTTGAGTCGAAAACGGGCTGCAAATTCCACTCACAGTTTATGAAATTCACATCACCAGACACCTCAAGTGACCACCAGAAAGAATGAGTTTTTTTTGGTAAGCATGTTACATGTAAGTTTAATTTGTTTATCATGCATCCCATACTCATCCAGCATAGACGGCGGTGACATAGTTGCAAGACTTGCGTTTCACCCTGCATAGGAATGACGGGCCACATATTGCACTCGTGAGCATGTTGCACTCGTGACCCCGGATCATGAGCATTGTGCTTCATATCCGGATCACATAAATCTTCACACAAGAAACTACAACATTATATTTGAAATACCTGTGAAGAACAATATGCAACTGACACTCAAAGGTCTCTCAAGCACCGGCAATCGATGGAGTTCAGTCTAGAATGGTTACTGAAAGTGTAGGTGTTGAGGAGTTGTTTACCAACAAGACGAGTGAGAGCCTCTCAGGGACGCTCCCAGACGTGCTACACGTTACTCGTCTTCAAGAATGCATCACGACGTGAATCTAAACTAACGTTGCACGAAATATCGCATTGCTTTATTGTTAATGATAAAATACACGAAATTCTTGCACACTATCCACATTTCGCTTTTAGTAGATAAAGGAAAATATATGTAAGGAAATTATAAGCTGTGCAGCCTAATAAGAGTCATCATCTGTCACTATATGAAAACTGCCAAATTATTGTTACTTTATAATATATAATGTTAAAAGCATATGTAACGTATTATCTAAATTACTTTTCTCCGAAATGTAATGTTACACGTACTGTTGAGCAGAGCAGTTGCAAACAGCAATTTGTTATCAGCAAGTCAGTTACAATTATATATAAAGTGTACGTAAAACTGTCACAATGTCAAATAAAATACACTGGGGTCTGATTTTAAACGTTTTGTAATCTTATTAATCTTTTTGAGCTGCGGCTCACATGATGAGTATGAGGGGGGGGGGCCATGCACAATCAACAAAAATTAAGCGTGAAACCTAAGTGGCCAAGAACTAAAAATAAAGCACAGAAGGGGTTCTGTGACCCATGCCTGATCATGTACTACATATTGCTGAGCATAATAAATCTCACAAAACAACTGAGCCTCTCGATGTATTTCTTCAAGCTAACCGCGCTTTCAGTGAACTGAAAGAACATGTACGTAGTCAATATTGGGAACAATTCTTACAGGGCATCAATCATGCAACATCCTCAGCCCAAATGTGGGCCAAAATTAAAAGTATCTCTAAACCTAATACCCTTCAACTTGCTCATCACTCCCCAACAGCTGATGCTGACATGCTGCTAGAACAGTATGCAAGTACTGCTTTCATATCGAATCTGCCCCAAAATATACAACATATTGCTAGTACTAATGTTAATAGGGATTTTAATATTGAAATTGCCTGTAGTGAAACGGGCTTATGACAGATGATGCTTATGACATTTCCTTATTTGAGCTTGAAACTGCATTTGAGAAGGGCAGAGTAACTTTTCCCCAGTATAACGTATTCTGAGGCTTCTTGCCCACATACCTAATTGTCCCCTGCTAGAACCGTACGGACAAAGCCTACGCCAAGGTGTCCTACCAGATCGTTGGACACAAAGCCTTATAACCCGTCCCTAAGCCAAACTCAAACAAATTAAGGTCGATATCTATAACTTCTTGCATATGCAAGGTCCTTGGGAGGATTGTTCTCAGTAGGCTAATGTTGAAACTCAAAAGTCAACTCACTTCTAACTTGCATGGCTGTCTCCCTGGGAGAAGTACACAATTGATGAAATGTATTAGAAGTTATTTGAGTAACAGAACTGCCGTAGTCATCTTTAAGGGGGATAGCTATAATGCCTGTTTTGAATTGGGCACACTGTTACGTCCCTTGACCTCTGGGTATGGTTCCTCTGTTGCAGTTGTTAACAAATATATAATAATACGGCCTTGCCTACTAAAGTGTCTAGGGTAAATAACTACTGCTTAACTAACAAAGCAATATACTTAAAGTAAGGGTAACAAAGAACATACAAATATATATTTATTTATTTATTTATTTATTTATTTTATTCATATATATACAAGAAGGTACATTGGGATTGTGAGGATACATAGCATATAGTAATAACATTCTTGTAAAGCCACTAGTACGCGCAGTGTTTCGGGCAGGTCCTTAACCTAAGAAACTTATAAGTAGGTAAATACTTACAAAATTTATAAAAATGATAAGTTACATAGCATGAAAAAAATAAAACGAGAGAAAAATTGTAGGTATATTAAAGCACATAGGTAGCTCAGAATGATTGTAATGACAGCTTGAATGGTAGTTTAACAAAACTTAGCAGGTACAATACAGCATATGGCTAGCACATAAAGAAGACAGCAATGAACACAATGATAAAGTTGTTTGGATTAAGTACATAAAGATTGGGAGATTGGGTAACACTAGATACAGAGCAAATTCAAAGTTCAGTGTAGGAAACTACGAAGATGAAATTAGGTACTTTTTGGTTTTGTTTTTAAATGAGGCAAAAGTTTGACAGCTTTTCAATTATAAATGTAAATACAGGCAGCCAGAAATATTAATGCATCCGAATACAACACAATATCATTATATAAGCACTGATCAATATATTTAAACTTAAATGGATAAATGGATATGCACATAATGGTCTAACCAGGAAATCAGCTATGTTACTAAACAATAAACAAGAATCACAGACTTAACTCCCAACATGACCACGCCAGCCAGTTCCACCCACGCGACTGTGTTGCTGGAGCATGCACGGCATGGCGTCTACAAGGTACCAACTAAAACTCACAAGAAACCTCTAGATACTCTGTTATCAGAAAGTAATACTAAAGGACATAATTATAACTAACTTATATGCCTATAACACTGCTAAGGTGTAAATAAGAAATTAAGTACAATCAATAAACAGGAATAATTACAGGGGTGAATCAGTGACGCTAGCTTGATACACTGTAAGCATGCTGGAACATCCCACATATGGTCATACCCCCATGAGACGCCACGGTCTCCCCCCACAGGAATGAACATGCAATAGCAATAACGAAATATTAAATACATGCATACTACAGCGCGCTACATTTAAATCAAACATATATATACTGGAACACAACTGGATATAATGTTTTATTTAAATAACTGAGGAAAGAAATAATGGACATACATATTTATCATGATGAATGTTAGAATCAAATATATGGATTCGCAACACACAATTCAAGGAGGAGTTCTTAGTCCTACGCTTTTCAATGTGCTGATGCATAGACTAATAGTTTTTTTTATTATTATTATTTTCTACCACAGACGTGGCCACACATTTACAATGCTAACTAGAACATATACATTTTCTTCTGTCCTCCATGGAGAGGGTGAGAGATTTGTCAAACATACAGTTCAAGAATTAATTCTTGAAGTAATTCACATAAGAATAGAACAACCTACCATGAACACCGAAATCACGGAACTATTTATTCTACCCACCATGAGAGTAAGGACAAGACCAGAACATAACGATGCCAACAAAGAATACACTGTTCAACATAACAGGCCAATTACACCTGATTAATCTTTGTATGTAGATAGGAGCTGCCTCGTATGGGCCAATAGGCCTTCCGCAGTTACCTTTATTCTTATATATATATATATATATATATATATATATATATATATATATATATATATATATATATATAATATAATTAATATATATATATATATATCTATATATGTATATCAATATATATATATATATATGTCGTACCTAAATAGCCAGAACGCACCTATCGGCCTACTATGCAAGGCCCGATTTGCCTAATAAGCCAAGTTTTCCTGAATTAATATATTTTCTCTAATTTTTTTCTTATGAAATGATAAAGCTACCCATTTCATTATGTATGAGGTCAATTTTTTTTATTGGAGTTAAAATTAACGTAGATATATGACCGCACAACCTGTCCGGACAAAACATGATGGTAGCTGAGGCTATTTCCAAATAATCCTGCTGGCGCTCTGATGGTAATCTTGGGCATGGTCTTTTTTCAAATTACCTCATTTTTGGGGGCCACGTGGGCAACACAAATGCGAATAAGCCTGAATGGTCCCCAGGCGTATATGCAACTGAAAACTCCACACCCCAGAAGTGACTCGAACTCATACTGCCAGGAGCACTATGCAACTGGTGTACAGGAGACCTTAACTGCTCGACCAGTACGACCGGACAAAAGATGATGGTAGCCGAGGCTATTCCCCCATCATCCCGCCGGCGCTCTGATGGTAATCTCAGGCATGGTATTTTATCAAATCACCTCATTTTTTGGATCCACATGAGCAACACAAATGTGAACAAGCCTGAATGGTCCCCAGGCGTATATGCAACTGAAAACTTCACACCCCAGAAGTGACTCGAACCCATACTGCCAGGAGCACTTTGCAACTGGTATACAGGAGACCTTAACCGCTCGACCATCACGACTGGCGAAAAGATGATGGTAGCCGAGGCTATTTGCCCATCATCCTGCCAGCGCTCTGATGGTAATCTTGGGCATGGTATTTTATCAAATCACCTCATTTTGAGGGGCCACGTGAGCCATCACCCTATATGATAGACTATCCTGTGATATGGGGTTTAAATATCCTGGGTTCAATCCCCGGGCAGGACAAAAACGGTCGGCCACGTTTCCTTTCACCTGAGGCCTCTATTCACCTAGCAGTCAAATAGGTACCCGCGAGGCAACTGTTGAGTGTCGCATCCTGAGGAAGGTCAGTAGTGGGCCTGTAAGTACTCTGTCAGCATAAATACTGGACACAGCCAGCATGATAATGGCAAAAGCAGGGCCCCAGCGGCTGCAGCTCGACCCCGCAAACTTATTATTAATACTATTATTATATATACAAGAGTTCTTATATTCCTGTACAGCCACTAGCACGCGTTGCGTTTCCGGCAAGTCCTTAATCATATGTTCCCCGGAATACGACCCCGCCAAACCATTTAACAACCATGGCAGGTATCCATTTTACTGTTCGGTAAACAGAGGCTACAGTTAAGGATTGACGCCCAGTAAATCCTCCCCGGCCAGGATACGAACCCAGGACAAAGCGTTCGCGAAACGCCAGGCGAGTGTCTTACCACTACATCACGGGGGCTATTTATTGACCCAAGAGCTAGAGCACGGTTCCGGTTCAGATAAGTATACAAACCCGGGAGGTTTACCCAGGTCTGCGCGACCCGCCTTACTCTGAAAATTTCCTCACGCCCAGGCGAGAAAGTGGGTCAGTGGGCGAGTGTGGGCGGGGCTTCCCCTCACTCTCACCCCTCCCTCTCACTTTCCCCCTAACTCTCACCCACCTCTCCCCCACCACTCAATCCATCCTACCTCCCCCATTCCTCCCTTCGCTCATTTCCCCCACTTTCTCTACTGGCCACGCCCTGAGAAGGAAGGAAGGAAGGAGAAAAGA